TAAAATGTGGAGAGTATGTCATTTCCACCATTACTTCTAGAACTCCCTCAATCTCCATAAGAATATATTTCAGACTTAACTCAAGTACACAAATGCATTTGTCAATTTAAAAAAGGATCTAGCTTAAACTATTTGACAGGTACAGCAAACAAATGCCAAGGTTTCCAATGGACCACTTTGTAAGCATTTTATAATGAATGGTAATGCCCTGTGCTGGCTGAATAGGTAACATGGGTTACAGCTTTAAATCAATAAATCTCTCACAGAATTCCATTACTAGCTACTATTCCACCCCAAATCTCACAAAACAATTAATAAATACCACGCTGATAAGATCCATTTAGAGCTAGAAGGTCCACAGTGTAAATAAATTGTTATTAAAAATTGACCACTTCGTAATTATAGATTGCCTTATGCTTAGATAAAAGGAAAAAAATTCAATTTAAACTGAATACATTTCTAAATAAAATTGAGTACATGCATTTTCATATTTATAAAAAGTAAAAGTCTTTAATATGCATGTAAATACATTTCATATTCAATTTAAGGTTATAGATTATTGCTGTCAATATTAATTTTTTTCTTCGGCAATTGTTACCTTTTGATCAGGAATCCTTTCAAATCTAGCCTTTTTAAGCATGCCTGCTCCCTTGTCTTTGTCCTTCATTCTTTATATTAATTAAAACAATATTTTTCTGCATAAAATTACTTTTCACAGGTCATTTGATGTTCTCAGGCCCAAGTCTCCATTCTAATGTTATTTCCCAGAATTAAGAAATTTAAATTGGATATTGTTTACTGCAAGCAGGTTGTCACAGCTCCAAAAATACAGAGTTCTCTGATGTCTGATTAAAACGCTTAATCCTACATTAATCCTCCGTTAATAAAAGGTTTAAAGCCCACACTAGCAGTTGAATAAATTTCTTCTGTGCCAAAAGTTTTCCTAAACATGCATAGTCATTTCTAGAATGCATTCATGTTCCTTTCCATTCCATTTAGAAATCAATATACATTGAACATCCGTTATTAAATTCGACAACATGATCTTTCCATTTTTTAAAAAAGTAGTTGTTGCTTGTAAGATCGTAACCTTGGAGCCTCCTATGTAAACTTGTGGATTTAAACTGAGGGGCTCTTCAAGGGATTTAAATTGGAATAGATTTGACTGTTCAAGTTTTAGTAAAGTTGAAGTAGGGTGCATATATAAACTAAGTTTGAAGGAAAACAAAATGAGGATTTTAGAAGTCAATGGTTTTATTATAAATTTTAGGGGACTTTAGTAAATGATAGTATGTAATCAAATACATAAAATGATAATAAGCATGAAATTGGATAGAATTTGTTTTAGGTCGATGTTTTTTCTTTTAATTATAATTTTTTATTTCTCCTTCATTAGTTTCTAGCTACGTATTAATTAATAACTTTATTTTACAAATCCTTTTAAAACCAAAGTGAAAGTTTAAATGGTTACTGTGACAACAATTGAGAGTTTTAACAATTTGAGATGGTTGTACATACCCGCTGAGTATTTGTAACCAACTGACAAGTTATGGTAGACCCATTTCTGGTCATCTGAATATTATCCCTGCTCTCTCTTCTCATAGTGAAGGGAGATAATCTGTGATCTACAAGTACCTCACAGAATCCATTGATGTTCAAATTTACAAACTAGATCACACCATTTCAGAGATGGAAGTGTTGAAGTCAATGGCAGTAACTAAGCTATGCAGTATCATTATTGAAATTTAACCCTGTTATAAAGACGTAATACCCCTTGTGGTCAAATTGAAGTACCTGTACAATGAACTGTGTAAATTGTTTTAAATTTGAAAAGACTACTTTGGCCAGAAACACGTTTTAAGACTTTGGGCAGTTTATATCTTTAATATTATGTTTAAAATCAAAAGTAATTGCACTTGTTAGCTGTATTAATTCCTTAATGACCCCTTTCTTTCCCGAGAGGTCTGAGCCAATTTAATCCTGTTGCAGTATGAATAATATTTTTCTTTTGGGCGTATATATTTAATGCAACACAATATTCATTGCTCACCTGTGAGCAGCTGTGGATTAAGAATCGGAAAATTACTAGTCGTCCCCGCAAAGTGTGTTAATCTGTCTTATCTCCAGAGCAGACTAATTCAATGGGATTGTTTTCACAAAAAACTTATTACTTTTCTTACTTCTCCTTAAAATTTCTATAATGCCTTACATTTTTAATGCACAGCAAATCAAAAATACTAACCTTTAATATATGGAAGTAAAATTAAGTTATGTCCAAAATGAATTCAAAATAAATCTCTTTAGGTAATTATGAGTCCAAGAGATAAATTCTGCACCATTACATGGTGGCAGAACTGTACAGATATAAAACAGCAAAATCATTTCTCTCTCTCTTGACAAAAATCAACAGTATTTATGTGTTGTCAAGACGTTAAAATCTTTAAATTTATCACCTGTTATTAAGAAAATTGCACTGAATAAATGCATCAAAAAGTTTAAGATATATGATTCAGCTTTATTCAGGGACATTTAAATACATTGTTGTGACCAGTGAAATGTGTATTTAGGATACTATAAGATTCTATTCTGTTTGAAAATGCTTGATAAGGCCTAAGAAAAAATATACATGTTTACTACTTCATGCTAAAAAGGGGGGCTCTTATAGAGAATCATACAAGGATGCAATTTCAGGATTTTATATCAAAAAATAAATAGTAGAACATGCTTATAGTTAACACACTTATGACAAATAATGCTTAGAACAGTGATTTTTCATTCCCTGTGGGTTTTCTTGGGTGCTTAGATATGTGACTGTATATATGTTCTATACAAGTTTTGCACATTTTTTTAACTTTATGACAAAATTCTTCCACTTTACTTGGCAAACATTATTCAGGTAACTGCATTATTTAAATATAAATCTATGAGAAATGTCCTGATTTCTTTAAAAAAAAAAGGTTTGGTTACTTATCCTTTTAAAAATATTATGATATAATGAATTTAATTTTAATGAAGCCAAATTTCCCATCCCTGGCACTTCTTTATAAGTGTGTTTTACCATATTCTGGTTGATCAAATAAGGATCACTTGGCTATAACTATAAATAAACATCTTACTTACTTAGGCCTATATAGGTAAAAAAAGAACAATTAAAAATTTTATCGCTGTAGATGAAAGGAGTTTGAAAAAATATTGAAAATGAAATGAAAAAGAAGTTTAAAATCTTTTAATAACATTCATATTGAAAAAAATGTGTCCTTTAAAAAGATTATAGACTTTTTATCTTGATTCAGGTAATAAACATATGTTTTCAAAGTTCATGACATACTAGTGAATGAAAATTACAAAACTCAGAAAGATTGTATATTTTTGGGATTTACTTTTCTCCACTTTCTTCTTTGTAAAAGAAAAAGTCACCGAAGCAACGGATAAAACTTAAAATGTCAATATGAAAATCCTGTAAGGTACCCCTTTAAAGTTCCCATTTCCTATCAGTCCATTGATCTATTTTAATTCAGTATTTCCCCTATGTCTGAGCCCTGGATGACAATAGTCCAGTCCTACTCTTCACAAGTTCAATGCCATCTTCTACCAAAAAAAAAAAGGTTCAAGTGAACATTATATTTACTAATCAACAGTTCGATGACCAATGCCTACCATTTATAGTTGAATGGCTTTAACAAATAAGTCTATTGACAGCTATACTTTTAGATAAACAGTTTATGAACAGCTGGAGTATGATGCCAGTAAAACAACTTATAATTATTTTGATTGTGGTATTCTTGAAATCTCCAATGAAAGTGGTACAAATAATCAGTTAATTACACTTTCACAAAATTAGTTCATTGGCATCCCTAAGACAGAGTGAGCTCGTATAATCCAACAGTTCAATGGCATCATAATACAGAGTGACCTCACATAATGTATCTGCTTTTTGGCAGTCCTTATAGACTACTCTAGATCTGTGGCAGTTCTAGTTAACATCTCAGTGTTATTCCTACTAATAAATAACCAAATGACAGCCCTAGCAAAAATTGATCTGAAAAAGGAAGCTCCATGACAGTCCTACCAATAAAGAATTCAGTGGCAGTTCTACCAAGACAGAGTTCAGAGGCTGTTCTACCAATAAGAGCCATAAAGACCCTTAAAGAGTTCAGTGGCAGTTTTACCAATAAAGAGTTCAATGGTTGTCCTAGGAGTTTAATGGCAGTCCTACCAATGACAGTCCTACTGTCCAATAAATAGTTCAATGGCAGTCCTTCCAATAAATAGTTCAATGGCAGTCCTTCCAATAAAAGTTCTATGGCATTCCTACTAGTACAGTGGAGCCTCGTTTGTCCAGACGCCTTGGTTCCCAGTCAATTTGTCCGGATATATGAAGCGTCCGGATACCTGAATCACCAGTTAAATAAAACAAAATTACATTTACAAATTTTGTTCCTATGAAAAGTCGTCCGGATACTGAAGCATCCGGATATCTGGGGTCCTGATATCTGAAGGTCCACTGTAAATAGTTTGTTGGTTGTGTTACTCAAATTGCTAAATGCAGGAAGTCTAATAGCAATCCTAACAACATAAGCTCCTGCAGTCCATAAAGCAAAGTTATTAATAGTCTATCAACAAATTTTATAATGGCAGTCTTATGAAAAAGCACAATATAACAGAATTATGACAATTCTACCAGTAAATAGCTCATTGGTCATTAACATTCAACACAGTCCTGCCAATATTGCAAATTGGCATTATTCCTACCAATGAACAGCTCAGTGGCAGTTCTTCTAATGATCTATTTAATGGCAGTCCTACCAATGAACAGCTCGACTGAATCTTAAGCAGTCCTACCAAAAAATTGTATTAAATAGTTGATAAGTCTTGCTGCTGGTAACAAGTTAGCCTGTTGTTTTCAGATCAAATACATTGTTACTTATAAAGAAATAAAATTGAGTCTTTCATTTTGTGCTGTATTGAAATTACTATGTTTGATGTATGTTTTGTTTCAGATTCTTTTACAGATACTGATTATTGCCACAGGGAATTACAATTTCTTTAACCTTCTGACTATGGCTCTGTGTGTATCACTGGTAGAGGACGATTTCTTCAAGAGAAGTAAAGGTAAATTCTAAAGTGATAGCAGAGTGACTGTATGAAAAGAGTGATTTTGTAATATGCATAGAGGCAGTTTGAAATGTTTTCTATAACAATTGTTTTGGTTTTGATTTCAGTAAAGAAGAAGAAGTCAGGAATGCAGAGCCTTTTCAACTGTGTGTTTTCATTTGTCATATACAGCTATTTTATATACCAAACAGTGAAGCAGTTTTCTCTCCAAGCTTCTTTTAATCCTACCTTTGAAATTAAGTCCAAAATAGGTAAGATTTTAGTACAAATGTATAATTTACAGTTACAGTTGAACTTTGATATCTGGAACAATGGTTTTTCAAATACCATTGATATATTTTTTGGAGTTTGATTTTTAAGTTTATCTGGTATTACCATTTAAAATTTGTGTATATTTGGAAGATTTTTCTTAGTCTCTTTAAGTTCAAGATAACGAGGTTTGACTGTAACATATATACAGTGAAACCTGTCTAATCCAACATACACTGGGAGACAAATTTTATGTCGGAATGGACAGAGTGTCGGATTGCACAGTGTTAAAAACATGGAAAATTGGAAACAAATTTTATGTCAGAATTCACAGTGTGACAGTTTGAACATTTCACAGGTGTCGGATTAGGCAGTGTTCACTGTAAACATATATATATATATATATATATATTATCAATTTAAGGCATTTTTTTTCAAATCTAAAAAATGGATCTATTCAAATTGTACTAGGATATTGACCAATTTTCCATTAAAAAAAATAAAATTAATAATGTGTAAATCTTCTCTTTAGCTTTCTCCAAAGCAGATTTTTTCCAGTGGTTAGAGTTTATTGTTCCTTGGACTATTGTTATTGGGGCTATCTCCTTAGGATATCAAATTCTTATCTCCCTTGTCAGGTATGTAAACTGTGTCTCTCTTCTTTTTTCACATGCTCTTGGAGCTTTTTTACCTATTAATCTACCAGCTATCAGTGAATCACTGAATTGTACCTCTAAACAGAGAGGTAAAGATTTTTAAGGGGCGACTTCAGATGGATCATTTAATTTGATATCAGGGATATAAAACAAGACTATTTGATGAAAAGAAGTGTTAATGTCAAACTCTTATCAGAAAAGGACCTCTTCACATTGATTTTAGTTGTCAAGAATCAAAAGTAATTGGTGTAGGAAAATCAAAGTCCATTGATTTCTTAGGTTTGGAACTGTGAACTGTTAACCAATAACTAACTGATGGTCAAACAACCAATATTGGTTATTATCAATAGCAGAACTGCTACAGCATAGATTGTAACAAAACTGTTAAAACATTCTGACAGATATTACCTTGTTTACCTCTGAAAATTAAGATTATTTGAGATGTGGGAATACTTAGCATATAGACATTGTACATATGACAATGTCACAGTCATATAATTTATAAAAAGATTTTTTTGTGTGAAGTAAGTCAAAGTTTTAAAGAAATACTAAAAGAAATGCAATCAACAGTTATACTGCTGAAAAATCAGCAGTTATACTGCTGAAATGTACATGTACTCAATTTTTAGCTCACCTGAGCCGAAGGCTCAAGTGAGCTTTTCTGATGAAAATTTGTCCGTTGTCTGTCGTTGTTGTCGTCGTCGTAGTCGTTGTCGTTGTTGTAAACTTTTCACATTTTCATCTTCTTCTCAAGAACCACTGGGCCAATTTCAACCAAACTTGGCACAAATTATCCTTGGGTAAAGGGGATTCAAGTTTGTTCAAATGAAGGGCCACGCCCTTTTCCAAGGGGAGATAATTATGAATTTGTTAAAAATTAATGGCATTTTTAGCTCTTCTGAGCCAAAGGCTCAAAGAGCTAATGCTATGGCCATTTTTAAAAAATCTTCTTCTCCAGAACCGCTGGGCTAGGAAAGATGAAACTCATGTGGAAGCATCCTCAGGTAGTGTAGATTCAAGTTTGTTCAAATCATGACCCCCGGGGCAAGGGTGGGGCCAAAATGGCCGACCAAAGTTTTACATAGGAATATATAGGAAAAATCTTTAAAAGTCTTCTTCTCCAGAACCACTGGGCCAGGAAAGATGAAACTCATGTGGAATCATCCTCAGGTAGTGTACATTCAAGTTTGTTCAAATCATGACCCCCGGGGCAAGGGTGGGACCAAAATGGCAGACGCAAGTTTAACATAGGAATATATAGGAAAAATCTTTAAAAATCTTCTTCTCCAGAACCACTGGGCCAGGAAAGATGAAACTCATGTGGAATCATCCTCAGGTAGTGTAGATTCAAGTTTGTTCAAATCATGACCCCCGGGGCAAGGGTGGGGCCAAAATGGCCGACCATATTTTTAGATAGGAATATATAGGAAAAATTTTTAAAAATCTTCTTCTCAAGAACCACTAGGACAGGAAAGATGAAACTCAAGTGGAATCATCCTCAGGTAGTGTTGATTCAAGTTTGTTCAAATCATGACCCCCGGGGCAAGGGTAGGGCCAAAATGGCCGACCCAAGTTTTACATAGGAATATATAGGAAAAATCTTCTACTCCAGAACCACTGGGCCAGGAAAGATGAAACTCATGTGGAATCATCCTTAGGTAGTGTAGATTCAAGTTTGTTCAAATCATGACCCCCGGGGCAAGGATGGGGCCAAAATGGCCGACCCAAGTTTTACATAGGAATATATAGGAAATATCTTTAAAAATCATTCTCAATTACCACTGGGCCAGGAAAGATGAAATTCATGTGGAATCATCCTCAGGTAGTGTAGATTCAAGTTTTTTCAAATCATGACCCCCTGCCCTTGGGATATGGTGGGGCCAAAATGGCCGACCCAAGTTTTACATAGGGAAATATTGGGAAACCTTTTAAAATCTTCTTTTCAAGTACTTCAAAGCTATGATTAGTGATACCCAGGGTATTTATATGGAATCATCCTCAGGTAGTGTAGATTCTAGTTTGTTCAAATGATGAACGCCTGGAAGGGGGGGGGGGGATAAATTCAAGCCTGATGTGCTCAGGTGAGCGCTGTGGCCCCTGGGCCTCTTGTTTTTAATGTTATCTGAAAAATGGTTTGTGTTGATAATAAAGCAGCCAGTTACTTAGTTGAATGACAAGAAATCAATGTCTAAATAAATAACAGACTTTTGAAGGTATTTCATATTTTGATTATGTTTCAGTTGCCTTATAGAAGAGAAAGGATTAATATGGAAGGTCTGGAGTTTGATCCAGTGTACAATAATAGCAATCGCTGCAGCAGCCATGTTTTCTATCAGTTTGGTAAATCTTCCTTGTTCTATTCAATATATAATAATTCATAAAGTGGTTTTCCTAGTTTAACACATATGAAAAAAAATTATTTATTCAGAATTCAGATTGTGTTCTTTATAATGAAAGGTGCAATTCATACACTGATATAGACAACCAGGCTTATAACATGCATATTTTGTTAGCATCTTGACCCCAACTTTTGACAGACAAATTTGGATACAGGTTATAAAACAATTATGGAAACATTGTAAACCAAAAAACAAAGTTGGAGACAATTAAGAAAAGTGAAAGTAGGGAGATATCACAGTACATGTACGAGGGTTGATCCAAAAGTAATGTCACAAATTCAATAAAATCGCTACCCGTCGACGTAAAATAACAAAAATAACAATGATGAAGTCTACATTTATTTCAAACTGGACCTGAAAAATTCAATTCAACATGATTTATACTTTTCAAAATATCGGATTTTATACAATGTGCGATTATGGTAGTCGCCGCACCTAAATAACGTCATATGACAGATACGCGCCGTCATACATTTAAACGCTTCCCTTCGTTTCATTAAAAACATTTGAGATCCACGAACACGTTCACGAATTTCACTTTCTTAAAGAAAACTTGGTACCCATCGTATACTCAATCTTTCCATAATGAATTCTTCTGTCAAAGTTCTTTGAACAGTAGAATAAGACCAACTTAAAATTTCACATATCGCTCTAATCGTCAGTCTTTTTTGACAACGTCACACACCATTGAACATATCCGTCTGTCCTCCCATCTTTCGATCTTCTTGTCATCTGCTTAGCATTAATAACCCACCACCCACCCAAAATCGCTGAAACCATCTAATCGAGTCTCTTATTTATATTCTTTCCTCTGTGAGTCTGGTGAATCAACGTAACTGTCTGCAGTACTGGCGATTTCTCCATTTTTAAGCGAAATGCATTACAGTTTGTTTTGGCTTTTTTGTCCATTTCGACATTTGCTTTTTCAATGCACCGGAGTAAAACAACGATGTTTTTTATTACAACATAGCAATTGTCATATAATTTTCAACTTAAGACTAGAAAATGATTTAAATTTTTGTCTTTTAGAATGTTTTCTGATAAAGTGCTTTTAAAGATGCTTTTAAATGTGTTTGGCTTTTCTGTTCTTAAGAAAATACACTTTAATTTTTGACGTTCGGTTGTGACGCGGCGACACCCCCTATGTTCTATGTTTTAAACACCTATAAAATAAATTCAGTAAAACATTATTGAATGAAAATTTCAAGTTTAATTAGAATTATATTTGTGCATCTTTTGGTATATCATATTTGATTATATTGCGCCAAATATAAAAGATATGGACACTGTGACATTACTTTTGGATCAACCCTCGTATATATAGAAAAAAAATTCTGCCACAAAAACATATCTTGGAATATTGAAGAATCTTTCTGGACAATGGCACAGCCTCTAGCATGTTTAGTCAGCCATATTCAATTTTCGAAAATTTTAGAGGACTTGGGGGCTATGCCAGTCCATTCAGAAAAGATATTGATTCAGCAAAGAAATATACAGGAAAATTTTTAAAACTTTCTTCTTGAACTTGACATGCCATCAACCCCCCCTCCCCCCTCCCCTTTCCCATGTAGGAAGCTGTCTTGAAAAAATTGAGTTCTGGTCCTACTTGTGTTACAAAGAATGTATATTTAGTGAAACAAATTAAAATCTCTCTTGTTACAAAAATGGTAAAATTTCCTTATTTTTAGCTCACCTGAGCCGAAGGCTCAAGTGAGCTTTTCTGATCAAAATTTGTCCGTCGTCTGTCGTTGTCGTTGTTGTTGTCGTAAACTTTTCACATTTTCATCTTCTTCTCAAGAACCACTGGGCCGATTTCAACCAAACTTGGCAAAAAGTATCCTTGGGTGAAGGGGATTCAAGTTTGTTCAAATGAAGGGCCACGCCCTTTTCCAAGGGGAGATAATCATAAATTTGTTAAAAATTAATGGCATTTTTAAAAAATTTTCTTCTCCAGAACCGATGGGCCAGGAAAGATGAAACTCATGTGGAAGCATCCTCAGGTAGTGTAGATTCAAGTTTGTTCAAATCATGACCCCCGGGAAAGGGTGGGGCCAAAATGGCCGACCCAAGTTTTACATAGGAATATATAGGAAAAATCTTTAAAAATCTTCTTCTCCAGAACCACTGGGCCAGGAAAGATGAAACTCATGTGGAATCATCCTCAGGTAGTGTAGATTCAAGTTTGTTCAAATCATGACCCCCGGGGCAAGGGTGGGGCCAAAATGGCCGACCCAAGTACATAGGAATTTATAGGAAAAATCTGTAAAAAAAATCTTCTTCTCCAGAACCACTGGGCCAGCAAAGATGAAACTCATGTGGAATCATCCTCAGGTAGTGTAGATTCTAAATTGTTCAAATCATGACCCCGGGGCAAGGGTGGGGCCAAAATGGCCGACCATATTTTTAGATAGGAATATATAGGAAAAATTTTTAAAAATCTTCTTCTCAAGAACCATTACGACAGGAAAGATGAAACTCATGTGGAATCATCCTCAGGTAGTGTTGATTCAAATTTGTTCAAATCATGACCCCTGGGGCAAGGGTGGGGCCAAAATGGCTGACCCAAGTTTTACATAGGAATATATAGGAAAAATCTTTAAAAATCTTCTTCTCCAGAACCACTGGGCCAGGAAAGATGAAACTCATGTGGAATCATCCTCAGGTAGTGTAGAGTCAAGTTTGTTCAAATCATGACCCCCGGGGCAAGGGTGGGGCCAAAATGGCTGACCCAAGTTTTACATAGGAATATATAGGAAAAATCTTTAAAAATCTTCTACTCCAGAACCACTGGGCCAGGAAAGATGAAACTCATGTGGAATCATCCTCAGGTAGTGTAGATTCAAGTTTGTTCAAATCATGACCCCCGGGGCAAGGGTGGGGCCAAAATGGCCGACCCAAGTTTTACATAGGAAGGAATTTATAGGAAAAATCTGTAAAAAAAACTTCTTCTCCAGAACCACTGGGCCAGGAAAGATGAAACTCATGTGGAATCATCCTCAGGTAGTGTAGATTCTAAATTGTTCAAATCATGACCCCCGGGGCAAGGTTAGGGCCAAAATGGCCGGCCATAGTTTTACATAGGAATATATAGGAAAATTTTTTTAAAATCTTCTTCTCAAGAACCTTTAGGACAGGAAAGATGAAACTCATGTGGAATCATCCTCAGGTAGTGTAGATTCTAAATTGTTCAAATCATGACCCCCGGGGCAAGGATGGGGCCAAAATGGCCGGCCATAGTTTTACATAGGAATATATAGGAAATTTTTTTTAAAATCTTCTTCTCAAGAACCATTAGGACAGGAAAGATGAAACTCATGTGGAATCATCCTCAGGTAGTGTAGATTCAAGTTTGTTCAAATCATGACCCCCGGGGAAAGGGTGGGGCTAAAATGGCCGACCCAAGTTTTACATAGGAATATATAGGAAAAATCTTTAAAAATCTTCTTCTCCAGAACCACTGGGCCAGGAAAGATGAAACTCATGTGGAATCATCCTCAGGTAGTGTAGATTCAAGTTTGTTCAAATCATGACCCCCGGGGAAAAAAATGGCTGACCCAAGTTTTACATAGGAATATAAAGGAAAAATCTTTAAAAATCTTCTTCTCCAGAACCACTGGGCCAGGAAAGATGAAACTCATGTGGAATCATCCTCAGGTAGTGTAGATTCAAGTTTGTTCAAATCATGACCCCCGGGGCAAGGGTGGGGCCAAAATGGCCGACCCAAGTTTTACATAGGAATTTATAGGAAAAATCTGTAAAAAAGACTTCTTCTCCAGAACCACTGGGCCAGGAAAGATGAAACTTATGTGGAAGCATCCTCAGGTAGTGTAGATTCTAAATTGTTCAAATCATGACCCCCGGGGCAAGGATGGGGCCAAAATGGCCGACCATAGTTTAACATAGGAATATATAGGAAAATTTTTTTAAAATCTTCTTCTCTAGAATAGCAAAGCCATAATTGAAACTCATGTGGAATCATCCTCAGGTAGTGTAGATTCAAGTTTATTCAAATCATGACCCCCGGGGCAAGGGTGGGGCCAAAATGGCCAACCCAAATTTTACATAGGAATATATAGGAAAATTTTTTTAAAATCTTCTTCTCCAGAACCACTGGGCCAGGAAAGAAGAAACTCATGTGGAATCATCCTCAGGTAGTGTAGATTCAAGTTTGTTCAAATCATGACCCCCGGGGAAAGGGTGGGGCCAAAATGGCCGACCCAAGTTTTACATAGGAATATATAGGAAATATTTTTAAAAATCCTTCTGAAGATCCACTGGGCCAGGAAAGATGAAACTCATGTGGAATCATCCTCAGGTAGTGTAGATTTAAGTTTGTTCAAATCATGACCCCCGTGGTTAGGGTGGGGCCAAAATGGCCGACCCAAGTTTTACATAGGGATATATAGGGAAACCTTTTAAAATCTTCTTTTCAAGTACTTCAAAGCTATGATTAGTGATATTTATATGGAATCATCCTCAGGCAGTGTAGATTCTAGTTTGTTCAAATGATGAACGCCTGGAGGGGGGGGGGGAGTAAATTCAAGCCCGATGTGCTCAGGTGAGCGCTGTGGCCCCTGGGCCTCTTGTTACGTAAGTAATCCCATGAAGCATAATTTAAATCAGTCATGATATGGGCTCGTACATCCTCCTCTGGAACATTCGGAGTTGGGAGGTTAATAAAGCAAGTTTTGGTCCCTTTGGTGAGGTGGGCTATGAAAGGGGGAATTGACTTTGTCAAATTAATACATGTTTGCAGTCTACTATTTGCCATAGACTCAGATTGGTGGCAGTTGGGAAAGTTTCATTTCATACTAACTGTACATATCCTTTTGTTTGTCAGGAGAGAGCTTATTGTGACTCAGTTAAGTATTGCACCCCATCAGCCTCATCTCAACTGTTTTCAGTATCTTGTAAACAAAATAAAAATATGTATAGAAACCAAAAGCTTTGTCTTGATTTAGTGGCAGAGCTTATAAGACCATAAGTCAAAAAGTCTCAGGGTTTTTTTTTATTTTGAAATTATTTATGTATTCAGAAATACCAAGTACCACCAAATTCTGAAATGTAATTATAATAATAATGGCAAATCTTAAAAAATTATAAGACTGCGACTTGGGAGACCTACCTGTATGTTAAAGCTGCTGTGATCCATGGTGTATGATTGATTTTAGGTACCCTACACGGTAATAGAGAAAGGTTCCCAGCTGTATGTCTCCCCCGATTTACATAGATATAGGAGTTACCTCAAAGACTACCATCTCACAAATTCCTATGGTTTGTTTAGAAGGTAACTATTGCAAATATGTTGTCCTGGGCACTTCTCTCGGAAAATAAAATCCCACACAAATCTAAAACAACAGAAACAAATTATCCACAGAATTAGCGAGAAGAAGTGATGCTTTGTGAAAGTTTTTAAATTGCCTGTTTATCTAGCAGAAATCTATAATCTTTTCAAACACTGGTCTCAATTTCCTGTTTGAAAAAAGATAATTGAGGGGAAGAATTGATTTTAAGATCAATAGTAAGAGATTGAAAAAGTTAACAAAATTCTAATTTAAATATTGATGTGCGTATATGTATAATCTGACCGTAACGTTGCTGGAGGTCTTACTTTATAATAGCCACATGCATACCAATATCAGTCATTGTTAAACCTCTGTATTTTGGTATCAACTACCTGCATTTATATTTGGATGATCAATTCAGGCATTTGGATTTTGCTTAACTACTTCAAAAAATAGTGTGGGATAGTATGGGATAACAAGATAAAATTCTCACAACCTAGAATAACAGAATGAATTTGATTCAGACTGGATCTCTTAAAGTCCTTACTTCATGGATTCCCTTTCATATGGTACTCTAATGCACTATTTTTATTTTTTTTTTGCATTAGACTGTATTGAATAGTTCCTTTTCTTACAAATGTTTTAATAACATTTCCTTGTTTTAGCAAATTGAAGTTATTGAAATCTGTCAGTGTGCACTATTAAACTACTAAATGTCAGCCCTATACATGGAATCATTTTAATTTGTTGTGGTCAGTGTTCAGGGACAAGTAAAATTTTGTTGGTCCATCGAGATATAATTTTGTGGGTAACTTGTAGAAGAGTCAATGAATAAACACATTAACAAAATAATTGTTCTGGGGATGTAAATTCTTGGATAAGGATAACCCCTGAACATTAATTCAGAAGCGGAGAATTTGGTTCATTTTTAGATGTGTGGGATTTATTTTCCTCTGCCCAAGGACACAGACATAGTTAATCTGCATGTAACCTTGAACTTTGACTTTTGGTGTGTCATTTCAGATACCCTATACTGTGATTGACCAAGGTTCTACCAAACATATTCCTAAACCAATATTCAGATTGAATGAGAAATTAGATTCTTTCCAGCTTACCAGTTCTTATGGACTGTTTAGAGTGTAAGGCATCTGTTGTGATTTCCCTGCATGAATTTAACAAATTAATCATTCTTGATAATAAAATCGGCTTCTTATTTAAAAATCACTTAATAATATTTTAGTGCATGCAATACAATTCACCTTTTTTCTGAAAATATAAGAAATATTCTGTGCTATTAAAATAAATCTGCAAGTTTCTTATCTTGAATATTTTTAAATTTTTGTCAAACACTAAGGTTGGTGTCTTACAATTAGGACATAAAATAAAAAGAAATCTAGCTGCTTCACTAAAAGTACAGCATTTTTGGCAGGATCACATATTATTTAGTTGTTCTGAAATAAGAGGGTTAAAACTCCTACAGTGAATTGCATGTTGCTGTGGATTTTATTTATTGATTTTTATTTTGGTCTGTCAATAACAATTAATTTTTTTACTAATAATTAGAGCATTAATTAAACCAGGTATAAATTAAAAAAAAATAAAGCTATGATTTGGATGTACTATACCAAAGTAGTAGTCAGGGTTTTAACACTTTGCTCAAGCCTTTGGCTTATGCCCCATGTATCAAATCCTGAATTCTGTTTACTAGGCATAGTGCATCCAAAATCATAAGTCTTTTATATTTACATTGCATTATGCTGACTGTTGTATGCACGGAAGAGTTAAATTAGATTCTTAATCCTAAAGCTGGTTGCTGTCATCAAATCTAAATGAATTTTTAAAAACATCATTCATTATATCAAAAAACTTTGTGTTGAGCCCTCTTCCAAGGGGAGATAATTAAGAATTTATGAAAATTTAAACTACTTTTCAAGAACCACTGGATATCAGAAATCATGAATCTTACAAGGAAGCATCTGTTCTTACTGTAAATTCAAATTTTTGGGGCCTAATAGGGTTAAGTCAAAACAGGGGAAAAAATCCAAATCAAATCATTAATCAATATGTACAGAATATTACCCTTGTCCCTTTCTGTTGGGCAGAGCTTCTCTAAGCCCAGCTTAATGAAATATTCTTTGTCTTGCATGTACATAACAAATATTCTGGTTAGGTGTGTGTAGTTTTCTCAGAATAAGGTGATGTAATTCTTGCTGATGGTTTTACAGAATGACCGGAGTAGGAGGTCGTCCAGAGGTCATTATCGAGGGCAGTAACAGTGTGGACTCGGGCTGGAAGGAGTATGAGTTTTACTATAAACCAGGAAACATATCTAGAGCTCCTCCTATCGTAGGCAAGTCTCTAACATCCTATCATGTTCTTTTACAATGAATTTTCAGTGCCCGTGGTTGTTATTGCCAGAGAAAATGTTTAGGTCTCTGTTATATAGCTTACAGTCCAAGCATAATTATTTAGAAAAGGGTCGCTTTTGCATATTTGTTTTTTGAATGTGGCAACCAGGAAACATGTCTGTTTTAATTTCTCCTTTTATTTTGTTCAAAAAAAAAAATCCTAACATGTTCTTTTACAATGAATTTTCAGTGTAAGCCATTGTTTTGTTTATGGCAAGGAGCCTGCTAGAAGAGCATCAAAAAAGAAGCAAAAATGAATGTACAAAAGTTGAGCAATTTCTTTTTACTGTAAAAAAAAAAAGTTTTAAAATTTAATGCTAAATATAAAGTTTTAAAATTCCATATTTTGATTACCTGTCATTTTGGGAACTTTTGAAAATCTCATAATGAAAATTCTTTCTAAATAAGTTACTGCTAATTTTAAAGCAAATAAATTAGATGTTGATACCACACAACCCACTCTCTTCCAATAAGAATCAACAACACCGCACCTCACCCCACTGAAAACCCACCCTCTTTCCCCAGGCTAATACAGTCATACACTACATCAGCTTTGAGGTGGTTATATTGAGCAGTTGCAGTGTAATTGTTATGTCACTTCAATTCATTGACATCACCATATTGGCATAGAGACAGTCAAGTTAGCAAATCAGATGACAGACAACAAAAAAACTGAAATATAACATGCTAGAACATTCAAGGCAAGCTAGTTGTTGTAAGGTCCCTTGTTAGTAGAGGTGTCTCCATCACTGACAGCCTTACATTACTGGTATTCTACCCTCCGTGTGTTATAATGCTGTGATCCTGTTACAGCCCCTCACCAGCCTCGTCTGGACTGGCAGATGTGGTTTGCCGCCCTGGGCAGCTATCAACACAACACCTGGTTTGTTCACCTCATCTACAAACTTCTGATCGGGCAGCAGGAGGTTCTAGATCTGGTACAACACAATCCTTTCCCCCAGAAGCCCCCCAAGTTTATCAGGGCTAAGCTGTACCACTATCACTTTACAGGACAGACACCCAAAGATAAAGGGTATAGGACAAAAGTTTTTATTTATCTTTATTTAGTTGTCTACTTGATTTAAATTATTGATACTTTCACTTTCAGAAGGAATATAATGTGCTCTTTTAGAAGTCTGTGTAGGTTTCTGAAAGGTTACAAATTAAAAAATGTTTTTTGCAATAAAATTGATAAATCCAAAGTTAATTACCAGTAGATGAAAAAATAATGGATGAAAGCAAGCTGTTTTCACAAAAGTTTTATTTTGTGGGAGTAATAAAAATCTTGTGCAGCAAATATATTTTTATTATGTTAGGTACTCAAAGAAAAACTGGTGGGTTCGAGAGGAGAAGAGTGAATATTTCCCAGCGTTGGAAAAAGATAATACTTCGCTGATAGATTACCTCAAGAGAAGTGGAATGTTAAAGGTGCATATCTTGACAATATTCTTTTACATATTTGTATATTTATACCCCCACTCTGAAGGAGAGGGGTTATACTGTTTTACCCTTGTGTGTCTGTCCGTAACAAATTTTTGGTCGTAGTTTTCTCAGCAACTACCAGTACTCATTGCAGATGCTTGAAATTTTAGCACATTCTTTGCTGAGGCATGCCATATTGTGGGATTTATCTTTTTTATGAATCTGCTGTCAACTTCCTATTTATCCGTGCATATGCCAGTAACTGAACTAGTGTATATTAACATGATAGTGTATATTCACGTCAGAGCAAGGGTATACCATGATTCTTCTTATCTAACCATGTATATTTTGAAAAGTACCAGCACAATCTAAAAAATCTCACTGGAATAGAACATGTTATTCACCCCAGGGGACCTATTTGATCAGATTTTATCATATACATGTAGTATAGTATTGTAGTTTAAACTTGTGTTAGCTTTTCTAACTGAGATTATCTATAGTCACTGTGTACATGTCTGTCTAGCATAAATTTCTCTCCTTGATGCTTTCTTTTGGGTGAGTTTGCTGAACCCATACTTGCCCAAATGGGAATTCAGTTTGGTTTAGTTGAATTACTTATCCAGTTAATTAGAGTTCATGAATATGACCTTTAGTAAACCTACAAAGAATGAAAGAAATTTTGATGTTGAAGTATCCATGCATGAATCAAGTATGTTATAGAATTTTTAAACGAACATCACAATGCCATATTTTTAGTAGAATTTAAGAGTGTGCATGAAAAACACAGAACTCAGTTTTACACCAAAATATATATCATATAATATTGTTATTGTAGAGTACAAAGAAGGACAAGAAGACTTTGACTTGGATTGGATATTGTGTCCAGTACATCCGACGGCTGATTGGTCAACCCGAGGGCTTCTCCTTTGTTATAACTGTCACAGGAACAGCGGTGATGGCTAACGTCTTCAGTCTTATTCTGTTCTGAGAGATTTAACATCAAAGACATGTTGGACTTTTTAAATGTGTATCTGAATCATTTCTTATCACAGAGTGAATGTTGATGTATGAGATTGCAAGAGTGTTCTATCTGCATGGTATCTCCATTAATTCAGATGAAGTGTGGTGTGTATGACATTTGTAGGGTGAATTTTTTTTTGTACATCTGTTTATAGAATTTCACTTCTTCCTACTTTCTTTTGAAAGAAAAATTCATTTTATATTTGTGAATGAAGATTTATTGAAAGGTTATACATGTAACTCATAATCAAAATATTGCAGAATGAATCAGTAATGTATTACACTTGTCTATGTGTCTGTATGAATCAGAATATGGTGCTAATGAAGTGTAATGGTTTAGACCTTGGGTAGCAGCTGGGATAGCTCACTGAGCACCTGACTGGTAATGATGGGGGGCTGGGTTGGATTACCTGTCCAGTCATATATTTTCTCCTTTTCTTTTACAGTAGTAACACATCAGCCAAATGTCATATGATATAAATTTCATTTTAGCAAAGTGAAAATTTCAATTCCTTAGCATTATGAATCTGTACATTTAAAGTTTAAATAGGTGCAGGGTATAGATTCATATTTATTTAGTTTTCCTAATTGTAGACAAAAGGATTCTTTTGAAAATCATGTTAAAATCTTACTATTGCATTTGCATTTCAAAAGTTCAAAAAGGATTGATATGATTTGAGATTTTTCAATTTTACTGGATTCAGCATTACTTGTGATATGAAATGTATCTTTTTGTGTGTATTTCTCCTTTTCTGTATGTGATTCTTGCCTTCATTATGAAATGCTTACTGTAAAGCAATTCTTCTTAATCTTGTTTTAATGTACATAAAATGAAGTAATCTCATTTAGAGCATTATATTTATGTTACAACTGGCTTGAAATTTTATGTTTTTGTTATGTTAAGTTCATGTGCCATACATGTGTACTGTGCCTGTAGTGTTGTTTTTTATCCTTCTCCTTTTCTTTATTGTTGTATGCATGAAGTCCCATCTTTATTTAATACTAGAAATCTTTTGCTCCAGGTTGCAGCTTTATAAAATTTGGTTCTTTAAAAAGTCGTATTTTCATGATCTTAGTTCTCATCATCTGAGATACAGACAACATAGGAAGGAGAACTTTATCTTTACATGCCTGTCTTTTGGAATTGTGATACACCACAAATTGTGCTCTCTCTATCCACAAATACATTTTCAGTCATGAATATCAATCTGCCTTTATTGAAATCCACAGATGGAGCGAGTTACTGATTATCATGTTCCCAAAGATACCATGTAAATATTTCTTGAAAAGGGCTGTTCAGATCTTATATATGGGCATTATCTTATTGTCACCTGAGCTGATGTTTGGATGCTAGGGTGCCTTTCTTTTACAGTTTTCAACATTTTATTAAAACTTCCTGTAATTGTAATTTGGAACTTCGAACAAATAAATGAATAATTTTTAGAATTTGTTTGTTTACCTAAATACCAGTGATTTTCTGTATCATGATATATATATCACACAATTAAAAAATCATGATACACTGGTATACCAATAAAATTATACATCCTTAATAAAGTATTAAATATATCAGAGATTATCAATGAAAATTGTTGTGTCTATCCTAGGGTTGGGTGGGGCCAATTATTTACCAGTATTTAAACTGAACTCTTTGCTTTTCTCCAAATGTGCTCAGGTGAGCAAAAAGGCTCTTTTTTTAATTACTTTTTCATGTAAATGGATATTTTTTATCTTTAGAACATACAACATGGATATTTTTTATCTTTAGAACATACAACATAATCATTTTTTCAACAAACGCATCATAAAGGACAGATGATTTAATGTACAGTAAGGTGGATATATGCTTGTACATCATGTATGCTCTTTGCTGGTCGAATGGACTAGATATTGTTTTCTCTTGTTAATGCTTTTTTTCCCTCCAGTACAAGAAATAAATTAATGAAGAATTGAATTCATGTATTTATTTTTTATATAAATTAATTACAACACCCTAAAATGGGTAAAAAGTACATGCATTGCACATGATGTTGCAGTGAATTCACTAGCAACATATTGTGTAAATTTCATGAATTGCAACATGACGCTATAAACAAAACAACAATATAATGTATGAAGAGAAGGCCCTATGATTCTCCAAACTTGGATTTAATTTTAAACCAATACTTAATTTACAAGCTAGAAACTAAAATGAAGGCAAACATTTTCAACATGCAAATCCCTATGTTTTCAGCAGATAAATTTAGAACAAGTTTTATGCTGCAAAATGACTATTGGTATATAAACTGTCACAACCTACATTTGTATATTAAGGACTAGATTAAAATATATTTTATTTACACATGGAGGGCACATTTGTTTTAGAAGTGGACATCACTAAATAGATGCATTAAATCTGATTTTATTTTCTTAGTTTGTAAGAAATGTAGTAATTCATTTATATTTTTTAAAAAATTTAATACAAGGATCTTTCAAAAAAAGTAATCTATTTGTCCCACCTACAATAAATTGATTTATTATAAATTATAAACTATCCATGCAGGTATCTATCATACTGATTTAAATGTATTTGTTCAAACTAGTAATCATCACATAACAATATATGTAAGTGAATGCCCTTTCATCAATATTATTTTGTAGAAATTATACACCACAACATTCAAATACACATAAATTGTAAACTCAAACATTTTACACTTTAACAATATTTTCCCTCTAGAACATGGAAGGGAAAACAATCTACAGCTTTAGATCTGCTCCGTCTTACACAAAGTTATAATTCCCAGTTAATATACATATGCCACAACAAGAAACATTGATCTATAGGTCTTGATATAGAGAACACATGAGGTAGAGTTTGTTATAGTAAATAGTAGTTGACCAAAAAGCACCGTCTACGTAGAACAGAAACAAGCCATTTGCTGTATAACTAGTCCAATATTAAACAAAATTGTTACCTTATTTCTTTAAAAAATTAATTTTTTTTATCTGTAGGTCTTGATGTATATAAATATTGAACTACATCACATGAAATTAGATGAATATCATTTCCTTTGCATGTGTAGGATCTAACTTTTTTTCACAATATGAATAACTTGGAAATAATGGCAATCTGCATTTATCCTAATTATCATAACAAAAATACTAACAAACTGAGAAAAACAGTTTCTTCTCTGCAAGAACTGTACTTTACTACATAGTGAGAAATATTGCGGATTTGCCAATCTGCATTTTGATGTAATAATCATAATAAAAACAATCACGAACTGAGAAAAACAATCCTATGCAAGAACAGTACATAGACTTGTACTAGGACACCTACATGCATAGATGTCCTGATTTAATAGCATTCAAATATCCATGTCTATAGAAAGTCTCAATTAAACAAATACAATGTGTTTTATAAACAAAACAATTTTCAATTATTAAATTTCTGAACAAGCAAAAAATAAATAATAAAAATCTCTTACAATCTGTACTGGTAATTTATATCTTTAAAAGCAGGATAAAAACAAAAGCAAACAATAATGCATCACACTTTTGTCAAATTTACTTTGTCTTGCTTTTTCAAGAAATATACAAATAATAAGATGAAATAACCATGGAAAAAAGTTACAAATGAAAAAAATGTACAATGCAAAAATAAAGCATTTTTCAAGTACAACAAAGGTAGAAAAATATGTCTTTTAAAAATTTGTCGGTTTGAATTTCCAGGTTACTCAGATTTCAGCAGCATAATTTACTGTTTGATGAGAGAACAAATGAATTCTAAATATATTCAGTTTAAATATTCTAAATCTGGCTCTTTTCTAATAAACTCGAGTAAACCATCTATGTCACATGAATAAGATGCCAATTCATCATCGAGATAGGACTCTTCTATAGTCACTTTATTGCCTGGGAGTTCTAGCTGGATGATTCCTTCCTCCCCCAGATCTTGTCTCAGATGGACCGAGCCCTCAATGAACACCTTTTTCTTTTTGACAGGTGTCAAGCACTCGGCTCGGTGCTCGCTTTCCTGACTAGATCCTTGGTCCCCTGCTTTACCGCTAAGTCCCGAGGTTTCTGATGCTCGGCCGTCAAACTCAATCTCAATGCTGTTACATCCGTCGGAGCGAATCATGGCATTGATTTGTAAATCATCAATACCTATTATGTCACATTCAAACTCGGATGAAGTTGCACTTGCATGACTTGCATCGTCACTCAGAACTGAGGCTGGCCGTCTGCTCCAGTTGTAAATATTGAACATGTCCCACGGCATATTAGCACAGTAACCTGGTGCTGCTGGAAGAGCAATTTTATGTCTGTCTTTCCTAGACAAAAAGTCCCAGTAGTCTGAAGACGATACATTTTGTCTTCTCCGGTCGGCCAGATTAAAAATGTTTCTTGTGCGTTCAGCCAATTCCATTTCATCAGCCTTCTGATTTTTGTGAGAATCCTTGGTCTTTTCATCACTCTTAGAACTGACATTGTCCTTGGAATTGGGGGTAGACCCATACCTCTCCTGCATCAGTTGGGTATCCAAAATCTGGGATGCAGGAGGGCACTGCCCGTTTTTTGGACACCCGATAGACTGGTTGGAGGGAAAGGAAGGTGTCTGAAATGCTCCATAATGTGGCCCATTGCCCGGCATAGCAGACGGATGTAAAGGTGGGTGCATTCCAAGACCTGAGTACCCTGGTAAGGAAGGAGCACTGGGATATGCAGCTGGGGTATGAGAGAATCTGGACTGTGTAGAATATGGATAACCTGGTGTCGCTGAAGGTATCGATGTAAACGGTCTGTACAAGTCTGAGCTGTTGGGAAAGTAAGTAGGTCCATTTGGAGGTCTGTCCAAATATCCCACTGGATTACGATCAAATGACATATTCATTGGTGACACGGAACTAGGAAGGGGTGGACGAAGGGATGGGGGTGAGTACATACACGGTGACTGCACTTCTGGACGCGGTTCATTGACCATAGGTCTGACGTAACCTGGATAATGCATAAGTGAAGGAGATTCTCTAATGGAGTGAGGCAAAGGAACATGAAGTGGGGGTCGTGGAAATGAAGAGCTGCTGAAATCTGACAATGGTGCACAAATTGAATTATTGGTGAGACTTGGTAGTAGTGATGACTGATGGTTGTTCATAGGCCCTGGTAAAGAAGAAATTGAATTTGGACTCTTTAGCTCATTTGTATTGCTGAAAATATCTGGAGCCACCGTTGAAGGTGGTTTGAATTTTGATTCAGTTTGTGTAGGTACTGGTGGCAAACCGAATGGAAAAGGCAATGGAGGTGAAGATACTGTGTTATTTGGCATCAGCGTTTTTGCAAGTCCATTGTTGTCGGGGAATAACGGGGTGGTGACCTGCTGAGAGGTGGGGCGGGGAGTGTCAGAGGGTGGGGAATTTATCAGAGGTCTCTGGTTAAGAGGAATGACCTCCTTTGGCTGCCTGGAATAAGGCTTGGGCTTTGATCTGAGGTATACACATTTTCGATACACACAGGTCTGTTTTAGAACATCCTTGCGAACACAGTAGTGACACTTGTTGCAGTTTTCCTTGACCTGACATGGTCCACACTGTCCACAGCGACGACGCCTCTTCAAACGTACACCTCCTAGTTGATCCTCACTGGTTAAAAATCCTTGATCTAAAATCAGAAATGTCAATATTACAATTCTTTCAAATAGAAATATTTTTTTTTATGAAACAGGAGAATTTTTTTTAGTTATTTTGTTCATTTTGATAAAAATGCTGCCTTTCTAATTTTTGATAAATCAGAGATGTTGATTATGCATTTATAAAAAAAAGTTACCAATTTACAAATTTAATACATTTCTGGTTCAGGGGTTAATGAAGAATTGGGCTATGATGAACGTCTAATTATCTGTTACAAGTGTATTTTCCCTCGTATTTGTCCTAGGTACATTTAATTTCCTATATATCTTCAACTATAGAGTAAGTACCAGCAGTCCAGTACATAAATAAGTTGTGTCATAAACATAAACAGGATTGACAATGGATTCTGGTTGTTTTTGCTGCAAATGTTGATTTATGAAGTGTAAATACAAACATCATATGACTGTCAACATTTTGCCTCCAGCATTTTGTTACAAGGTTAAAATGTCCTAGGGATTACACATAACACTACTGATAGGACTATGGCCCAATTAATTAATCATATGACTTTATTTCGAAATAATTATTTGTTTCCTGTTGGATTAATTAAAATACATTAATTATGAGGTGAAAAAAATCAGAATTGCAAGCTGGCAAATAAATTATTTCATACTATTAATTTTTTTTAATTTAGCTATAACAGTTTTACTATTCATGCACCACCTGAGGGGGATTGCATTTTAGAACATCACTTATTATAACTCTACTGATCTAATAGATTTTTATTTAATATATATTGATAACCATAAGAATTTCTTGTTTGTTTTCAAGTTAAAAATATTATGTATTTATATGACTAAATTACCATTGCAAAAGATTTATATGACGAAGAATATACATATTTTCATTTTTAAATTAATTACAAATCAACTTCATGACTTTTTCTATTTTTACATCCATATAGTAGCTATTATTATTGATACAAAATAGGGGGGAATAAAAATTAGCAGCATTTAATATTTTTTTATCTAATAAAAGCAAAGAGTGATTCTATTTTCCATGTAAAATAATATTAAATGTATCATTTGAATCGGGGAAAAACACCAATAAATTTTGTATTAAAAAATATTAAAATATTAGTAAGAAATGCCTAACAATCGTATAAAAATTGTTCTATTAGAGTTCGATAATAATTACCAGCGTTTTAAATGCTACTTCGAAAGACTTACTGTCCAACAAAATTTTTTTAAAAAATAAGAATAAATTTCATTACCAACATTCATTTACTGAAGATAGGTAAAATGGGCAACAGTCTCGGTATACACTAACAGACTCACCATCAAACTGCGGTGCTGATGGACTCGTGACATCATCACCGTCTTTTTCGATTACAAACTCCTCATCCTCTGTGCTTAAGTGCAGAGGAAACTGGAGTGCTGCATCATCGGCACTCATTTTTGCATATTTACCTGTAAAATATCAAAATGTTAATATGATACTCCTTTTATGTCAATCAAAATAAATAATATGCAGGGGAGTGAATAAAATCATATTTTATGAAGGATAATAGATACCATTTTCTGGTATGAATTTAATGCAAATTTGCAACAAGAATATAAACCTCATAAACAATCATATTCTTCCACAAACTGAACTTCAAGATGTATCAGTATTATATCCTTGAATTAATTATTTTATCAAAATGAACTTTAAATTCCTTTATAGCTGCCTGCAATCACCCGTGAGAACCATGAGTTAAATCCAAACAAAGCACATCAAATTTACTGTCTAACATACGCTCATATCGAGTTTCAGGCGATCATCTATTTATAGTAACAGTTCGCGGCCGCTATACCGCGGTAACCTGCAATTAATTGTCCACAACCATTGAGGTTTAACAAAGTGATATCATCTACTACAAGCTTAAAGTAAGCTATCAGCTTGTATATATTTTCAAACTAGCATATTGCACAAATCAACATCGAATGAACAAAATATTGCACCACGATAATAAATTTATTGATTTTAACAAAATTATGAACGGATGTGAGGATGCACTTCAGCTTTTGGTTCACATCACCAGCCTGTGTTGTCATAAAACACATCATTTACGTATGCCATTGCACAATAAACTCTTATAATTTACAAAGAACTTTGTAATCCATCTTACCTCCAAGATTGCCCGAATAATAAGGTAAAAACCATGTTTATTTTTCAATCGCTTCCTGTCCTACAGCCGCCATGCTTGTTTATACAAAAAGGAAACAAAAGTAAGCGATAAACTTTTGAGGATTTTCTCTCTCGTGCAGAGTTGTCGTTCGTTACTCCCTCAGAAATTATGAAAAAAATGTTTTAAAGTGTTTCCTCCGTGATTTTTTTCGTAATTCATTTTTTTTTCGTAATTCATTTTTTTTACAAATTAATAATAAAGTTATCGAATATATCCTTTGAAAACTCTAGAGAAATCCTTATATTCCTGTCTTTTTTAAATAAATAGGGAAAATGTTTATATGCTTAAACGGAACGATTTTACACTAAGACATTGGAGATAGTTTTTGGCTTTCTTTTTACAAATTAATAATAAAGTTATCGAATATATCCTGATTTCGGAATGTCTCATATTTGTTCCTATTGTTAGATGAAAACTCTAGAGAAATCCGAAAAGCTGTCACTATTTTAAGATGATGGGTGAAATGTAGGCTTATATTCCTGTCTTTTTTAAATAAATAGGGAAAATGTTTAGCAAAATAAAAAGAAAATTTATCCGTATATTTTTTATAGCATATAATTGAAAGTATTTACCAATTATCTTTTTTTTTAAAAAAATTGAAAATAATTATATGAGATGTAAAACACAAAATAAAGGAGAGCGGGAGAGAGAGAGAAAGAGAGAGAGAGACAATGTTGCAAGAGTTATCGCTCTTAGAGGCCACAATATTTGAGCGAATTAAACGCATTTTTTTTACGTTTGTGTTCAAAATACACAGTTTCGTTAATAAAATTTATCATAAATTATCATAAAATGACTATTAGAATATAATTCAAGGGGCATTTCATAAATAAAAATGGATCCGGCTTCGCTAGAATACGTGGAACAGCTTCAGCAAAATGTTGCTGAATTACATCAATTGGGACGAGAATGGGGAATGACAGACGATGAAATGTCAGATTGTATTGAAAGAGTCCTTAGAGAAAATGAAAATGTCATTGTATCCCCACCTCGAAAGTCTACAGCAAGACGAATCTGGCGATGCATTGGTTACACCCCCGTGGTTGTATCCTGTTTGATTTTGGGCGTGTTGATTCTTTTCGCAGGATCGTCTCTCTTATTTGTTGTGTTCCCTTCTGCTGAACATTACATGTCCGGAAAGCTTCAACCATACGGTTATACAATTTTCAGAACAATACGACTCGCAACTCTCCCTCTCCACCGCTATTTCAACATAACAAGTGAGTTGAAAGTGGAAATTTTCCAAGATAAAAAATTCTATTTTTAAAGATGTTTAAAAATCATTTTGGAAGATAAGAATATAATAGAATTTATTGCCAAATTAGGGCCCATTGGGCATAAAACATCATTTGGGTAGTGAAAATCGACAATAGACAGTGTGGTACTGCTCTTTTGCAGTGCAAAATAATATGGTTTGGTGAAATATGACGTAAAAGTGATTGTTTAATATTCATCATTTAGTTATCTGTCAACAAAAACTGCACCAAATGTTATTATTTTGCCCTGCAAAAGTGTAGTACCGCAGTTATCATGAACATGATGAAGGGGCTAATATTTTCATAATAATAATTTAAGATATTAGGCTTTTAGGGTTTTCACAACAGGGACGTACAGTCAATCCTCGATATCTCAAATCTGTTATGAACAATAACAATTCTCAAATTTTATCCATGAAATTGTGATAAAAAGATTGTTTAGGCGATTAACTCATTTTGATATATCAATGACGGGGCTTTAAATAAGGAGACAACTGTCAATTTATTCCCATTTCAATGATGGGAAAATCCACCTATCAAATTCAATGGGACTGTGGTAGAACATCAAGATATCGGAGAATTTGAGATATCCAGGGTAAAAGATATAAGGAGTTGGGACTTCCGTAATCCTTAAAATAACCATGGAATCAAAAAAATCAGTGTTCAAGAGACTGAAGTTGAATTGTATATGGGGGTCCAGGGGTTTAAAAATACAGTGGTCTGAGATCTGGGACTTAAGTTTATGGGGCGGACTAGCTAATTGTTACCCTTGGATAGTCCGTCTGACTAGTAGTTTTGAGAGGAAAAAATATTTTAATTAAAAGTATTTTTAAAAAAAATTTTGAACTCCCTGGAATGCCATGTTGCCTCAGAAATTGATTAAAGTTATAATGCCTAAAAAAAATTATGTTTGTTTCCTGTAACCCGACAGACCCATTCAAATTACCCTCGGATGGGTTTTTTTTTCCTGCCAAAAGGCAAAACTGCATTTGAACAATCAGCTGATTCCATTATTCAAAACAAAAGAAAAAAATTAATTGTAGCTTTATTTGAGACATAAAATATGTCAACCTAGTCAACATTTCCCTTAAATATAAAGAGTAATCATTATTGTAACATATTTCATTTGACACTTGACAGCATATTAATATTTAAAGATGAATGTTTATGTTACAATTATTTTGGTCTAGGTCTATATGATGCAGAGTGCCTTGTTGAAAATCCATGGTATGAAGAGCCAACATTGGAATGCAACTGGTGTGAAAACATAAAGAATATTGAAAGTCTAAACGATACAAAAAACCATGACTTAATTGATGAATTTATGAGAGAAGCTAGACCTATTGTTTTTAAGGTACCGGGTATCTATTTTGGAAATAATTTAATTTCACATAAATGAATCAACCTGAAAATTTGTTAAAGATTAAGAAAAATTGATCAAAATTCTGACAGGAGAGTATTTTTAATAGAACAAATGTCGTAATTACAGAATCTAGCAAATGTAGTGAACTTTGAGGATCTGCGAGGTTTGTACAGACAGAACAATGTAGTCCTGGACAATGCAGCCTTCTTCAGGTCCAGTGTCCCAGGAATGAGATCCATACAGGAACTCTTTGGTGATGAAGTAGATGAGAACACCTTAATGAAGGACGGAACAACTATACACTGGTGAGACATGTTATTAGAGTGATATTAGATATCAGTAATATTAGAAATGATTAGAGTGATATTAGATATCAGTAATATTAGATATCATAAGAGTAATATTAGATATCAGTAATATTAGGTATTATTAGAGTGATATTAGATATCATAAGAGCAATACTAGATATCAGTAATATTAGGTATTATTAGAGTGATATTAGATATTAGTAATATTAGGTATTATAAGAGTAATATTAGAAATCTAAATCAAGAAGAAGTGGTTAAAGTGATAAGAAGTCATCTATTCCTGAAGTATTTTACATTTGATATCTTGAATCCTTAGATATCCTAGTCCACTGAAGTTTAGATATCAAGGTTTGACTGTTATTAAAAACTCCCATCATAGCATTGAATTTATAGTTATTTGATTTCTTTTAGAACATTATAGAGAATGTTGTGTTGGGAATACCTCAAATTTGCACCCTATTAACCCCTGACAAAAGTGACGTTTAGAGCATTTGTTTTATAGGGTGACAAGAAACATGGCTGGCAGTCAGGTGATCAGGAAGTTGTTCCCCCGGCCGACTTTTATTCCACCAGAGAGTGAAGTGGCACTAGAAAGAGTTATCTTCATCGATGGACATAAATCAGATCATTATGAACTGGTGAGTGAAGTCAACAATTTCTCTGCTCATCTACAATCAATACATGTCTTAACATGCTTAAAGAATGTAATTTTGCATAGATTGGTGAAGCTGATTGTTTATTTAGTATATTCTATCATACCTTCATATAAAATTTTAAAATAACATCGAAACAGAATTATATGTTTACAATTTAGGATATGAATTTACCATATTTTTACCTTTGTTATGGCATTTAATACAAAACTGAGAAGGAGTAAAAGATCATTAAGTATGTGATTATTCAAAATTTTATAAATGTTAGTAGGAGGAAAAATCTTTTTCACTGTCATTTAAGTTTAATTAAGTTAAAATTTTATTTGACTGATTTATAGGTTGTGTTGCCGCTACAGATGGGATATTATATCCAAGCCTCAGGAAATCACAAAGTCATTGTCACCCCTCTGAAACATTGTAGAGATGTATGTAACCCCATGCAAACTGTTCTAAAGGAAGGAGACATTTGTAAGTGTACAAATAATCCTAGAAGACTTGTTATAGGGAAAATATAAGCTGCAAGTCATAAGTTTAGGCCAAAAAAAATAATAGTCTTGTTTCCTGCTACCAGCCAGAAAAAAATGGGGTAGGTAGGTAGGGAAATTATTTTATTTTTATTTTTTATTTTATTTTTTTCTGGCGGTGTTTCTTTAGATATGTTCTAATACAAGATCAAATTAAACATGCCATATGTCAATATTGCCTTTTAAAATTGAATTTCATGTCTTTTGATGCACAACTCAAGTGGTACTTTAAGAAAGTCCTTATTTAAAACATAGAATTTTATGAAATACGTACCACTTGAATATTATTTTTTTCAGTTTTCGAACATGAAATTCCAAAAATTCCTGATCTTTTTTCCCAAAACTAAAAAAAACTTAAGGGTCGGCTGCAAAAAAATAGGGTAGGTCGGGTAGCAGGAAACAAGACTATTTTTATTTTTGGCCTTAACTGAATTCTGTGCATGGGACCTGTGCATTGAGGAAGCATTCTAATAGATGTATTAAAAGGTTTTTAAAAAATAGTGTCAGATTCTGGAACAGATTTGACAGTATTGTTAACTAAAGACATTTCAGTCTCGTGTTCTCAAGATGGACCATAACAGAACATTACACAACCATTTTGATACAATTCCCACAGATTTTTTTTAGCTTAATGATAAGGTCACATGAGTTTGGAGTCAGTGCAAAGGTCTTTTTATATTCTTGTGTTTGCAAGTACTGCTTAATATTGAAAAGGATTTTTCATAGGATTTACTTTCATGATGAGATGAAATCAAAAACATTTTATGGCTCATAGATAAAATTTCCATGCTTGCTTTGAAATCATTGCCTTGCTGTTAAATTACTATAGATCACTATATTTTCACGGCACTTTATTTTCGCGATTAAGTAATTTGGTATTTCATTATCTGTAGTTTCTGTTGAACATCATCCTTCATAATATAAAATAGTATTATATAATATTCCCAAGAATTAAATTTTGACAAGTTGACAGGCTCGCGTAATTAGGTGAAAATAAAGTTCTTGCAAATAAAAAGTTATTTACGATATTATACTATTTATTTCAGTGACTTATAACCCCTCAGTCTGGAAGGTAGTGGTGATGCCTAACTTCCAGAATAAGCTCAGTATTGGGTACGCTGGATCATTTTCATTCAATGGTTTGGACTTTGACCTCAAAGAGTCAGAGGATGCGGAAATCCAACCGGATCCTGATGCCGAGCCTCAGGAATCAGTCCAGGAAGAAGACAGCAAAACGGAGCAAACATAGAGGGCAGTCCTGTAAATCGTCAAACGTATTCTCCACCTCACCTCTTAATTTTAGAACTCTTTAGATAAAAAAAGATAAAATACAATTGAAAGATTGTTTTGGAGAAAAAAACTGATCAACTTGTCAATTTTTATTGTGTAATGAAAAATTAAAAAATAAAGAAGACTGCAGATCAGTAGTTTTTTATTTTTGATACACACAGGAAAGCAAGTTTTATTCACATGCAAGAAATTTCATGACATTTTCCATGAAAATTTTTCACCAAAAATCATTATTTTAATTGAGGTATACAAGGAGAAGACAATCTCCCAACTCTGAGTCTAGATATTTCTCAAATTTCAATCAAAAGGTCAAGATCAGAAATTTATAAAAATTACTTTGAAAGTGGTTTTCAAATGATAATTTGTTTTGTTCTGAGTTCGTAAACTATAGTTTACAATAAAAAATGTTTTATCCACTGTTAAACTATGTTAAGTTCATTTTAGGAATTGTTGTGCCTTAGTATTCAAGTGTTTAGATGTTTATTTAATACGTATACAGAATTTAAAACTAGTACTTTGAGCACTCAGCTCACTAAATGAACCCCCCCCCCCCCCCCCCCCCGCCACTCTGGGAGACCCAAAATAAGTGTCTGATCTAAAAAGTTAAATAGGAGGTGCGCGATGGCATTATGTAATAAAGTGTAGAAGTTCGGGCTTTACAGACCGTGGATATCGGCCTGGATAGCTCAGTGGTTAGAGCACCTGACTAGTGATACAGGGGTCCCGGGTTTGATTCCCAGTCCAGCCATAGGTTTTCCTTGTGCATTTCTCCTTTCCTACTACATTTGGTGGCCAGTGTGGAGGGCCTTCTTCAGGTTACAGTGTATGTGTAAATTAGTAATTCCTAACAGGGTCCTAGAACTTGTGTCTTCGAGGTTTAAGACTGTTTAAGGAGGGAGGAATGTAGAAGTTCGGGCTTTACGGACTGTGGATATCGGCCTGGATAGCTCAGTGGTTAGAGCACCTGACTAGTAATATAGGGGTCCCGGGTTCGATTCCTGGTCCAGCCATAGGTTTTCCTTGTGCATTTCTCTTTCCTACTACGAAAGAATATGTGATAGTCTCATTTAATTATATTCAGTGGTATAGGAGGAGTTGCGGATAAAAGATGAATACCCTTTAGTATTACAGAAAAAATGACAATGTCCATATTTTTGCTATGGGAAACCCAAAAAATGCAAGCCGAATCGAAAAGTGAAATAGGAGGTGCACAATGGCATTACTGAGTATTTCAGTTTTATTCATTGGTATAGGGGAAGTTTCGGATAAGAGGTGGGTTTACCCCAAAGCGTAACAGACGGTAGGCGAATGTCGACATCCCGATTACTTTATATCTTCCCACTTTTCAAGCGTGGGTAAAAAAAATCAATAATTTTTTCCCGCTCCTCCTTTTTTTCAAAACTGTACATGGGTACCACATTACGAACTTGTTCTACTCTACGAAAGGCCATTGAGCTCATTAACTTGCGTTAAAAAAATATATACGTATTTCGCGTTACAATGGGAAAGTTTTGCATTAATACGCGAAAGTTTCGCGAATAAGCGCTTAACTTTCATGTTTAAATGCAAAACTTTCGCGAATATTACTTAGGCTTGTTGTTCCGTGAGAACATAGTCAATTGACGACAGTCATTCAACGAACTCGATTCTGAGCTGCTTTCGCTGCATCCTGCTAGGTGATCATGTCCTGTGCCTTTACTTCTGACTCCGAGTCACGCCCCCAGGTGTTCCTTGGACTTCCCCTCTTTCTTTTGCCCTGTGGGATCCAAGACAGGGTCTGTGATGCTGGATGACGACTTCCAGTCCAGCCACACTTTATTTGTCTTATTTTCTGTCCATTGGTTCCTGTCATGCTCTCTTCCATAGTTCTTTGTCGGAGGTCCTTTCAGGCTATCGAATATTGAAGATGCGACTGAGACAGGTGTTGTGAAATGTCTGAATCTTCTGTAGGGTTTGCTTTGGTCAACCGCCACGTCTCTGCGCCATACAATAGGCTGGACTTTACATTAAAGTAGCTCCAGAACAGTAGCGTTACGACTCTCTATATGATTGCGCCCATGAGAAAAGGGTCCTTATGGCAGTTTTAACACATTATATATTCCTTTGACCATATATATACGCTAGTACAGATCCGTAATGCAAGAAGTGCATGAGAATTTCCCTTGACTGGAACGTTTTGAGCTACTATCGTTTTACAAACAGCGCGACAGTTTGCTTGATAGGGCGTGCTAAAATTTTGTATGCCGATTATCATTTAACTCATCGATTGGACGATTGATTTCAATGGAATCAATAATACTTTGCATATGAAACAGAGAACCCAACAATACCACTGACAATACTGGCCAATCGTTTTGAATGACAGTTACTTCGGAATAGACCTGTTTACGGGTATGCAGTAAACAACAATTACATGTGGACGGACAAAGCAAGTTTTACAACCTATAATGATAGCTACATTAGTACAGCAGTAGCTGAGTAGCCTTGCTTACTAATTCCATTCTTTGAGTTTTCTTATACATGCACGTAGGCCTATATAATACCCCATGCGGTCAAATCACAACAAATATAATACACGCTTTTTTAAAGGACAGAAAGCGGTATTAGACAGACAACGTGCTGCTGGTGAGTACAAATGCCGCACTGGTGAACAAGCATTCAATGTGATTGGCCAGTATTATCAGGATATTGTTGTATTCTGAGTTTCATATGCAAATTATTATTGATTCCATTGAAATCAAACATCCAATCGATGAGTAAAATGATACAGAACTTTAGCACGCCCTATCATGCAAACTGTCACGCTGTTTGTAAAACGATAATATCTTTAGAACGATGATTGTCATACAATGACACGCCCATTTCTTTAGAAAGGAGAAATCGGTCAAATGGTTCATTCGAATACCTGTAGAACAGGTATTCCTTAAATAGAGTAGCCAATCAAATTGACGGTTTACATAAACACCGAATGAGCACGTGTTCGACTGATACATGTGTTATAGTAACTCCAAAAAACATAATAAATTAATACTTATTGACAAATTCGTTGCTATATGTGTTTTACAGAAGTGGGAACTCTCAAGTCTCTCTATTATAACTTGAAAAATCTCCATTTCGGTGTAACCTGCGTTCCTTGTCCCGAGGAGTAGGTGTCCTTAAATATATGACGAATATTTCTTTTTCATTTCTAAAGAAATGGGCGTGTCATTATGTTATAATTGACGTCCAAAACATGACTCAGAACGTTTCACCCAAACAGAAAATTTTACCACTTCAATGCGCTTCATTGTATGAAGGGTTGGGAAGTGGATTGATTATACAGGTTGAATATAAAATGTGTCTAGAATTAGGGAGTGAAAGGTAGTTGATTGATCTGTGCTGGAAAATGGAGAAATTGTCCCCAACAGTTCGCACAAAATCTTGCCCATTAATTGCACTTTTTAGCTCACCTCGACGAAGTCTATGCTATACCCCCGGCGTTGGCGTCGGCGTCTCGGTTAAAGTTTTAGGAGCAAGTCCATTCCCAAGTAACTATCAGCCCTATCCGGACCAAACTTGCATGGATGATGCATCTAGGGATGGACACTACCAGACTTGCTTCGGATGCTGGATGTGACCTACATTTTCCAGATGAGTGACCAGGATAAAGTTTTAGGAGCAGGTCCATTCCCAAGTGACTGTAAGCCCTAGCCGATCCAAATTTGCATGGATGATGCATCTAGGGATGGACACTACCAGCCTTGATTCGGATGCTGGATGTGACCTACATTTTCCAGATGAGTGATCAGGTTAAAGTTTTTGGAGCAGGTCCATTCCCAAGTAACTATCAGCCCTATCCGTACCAAACTTGCATGGATGATGCATCTGGGGATGGACACTACTATATTTGATTCGGATGTGACCTACATTTTCCAGATGAGTGACCAGGTTAAAGTTTTTGGAGCAAGTCCATTCCGAAGTAACTATCAGCCATACCCGGTAAAATCTTGCATGGATGATGGATCTAGGGATGGACACTATTAGACTTGCTTCGGATGCTGGATGTGAGCTACATTTTCCAGATGAATGACCAGGTTAAAGTTTTTGGAGCAGGTCCATTCCGAAGTAACTATCAGCGTATATGGACCAAACTTGCATGGGTGATGCATCTAGGGATGGACACTACTAGACTTGCTTCGGATGCTGGATGTGACCTACATTTTCAGAGGAGCGACCAGGTTAAAGTTTTAGGAGCAGGTCCATTCCCAAGTAATTATCAGCCATATAGGGACCAAACTTGCATGGATGATGCATCTAGGGATGGACACTACTAGACTTGCTTCGGATGCTGGATGTGACCTACATTTTCCAGATGAGTGACCAGGTTATTCCCAAGTAACTATAAGCCCTCCCCGGACCAAACTTGCATGGATGATGCATCTAAGGATGGACAGTTGAGACTTGCTTCGGTTGCTGGACCAGACCCACATTTTCCAAACAAGTGACGAGGTTCAATTTTTTGGAACAGGTCAATCCCCAATGAACTTTAAGACCTATTTAAACAGAACTTGCTTGAATATTGTTGTCAGAATAAATACTAAAATACTAAATAAGTAAGAAAATACGATTTGAGATTTGCATTACCTTAGTCGTACACTGATAACATTCGTCGAGGTGAGCTTCGTAATCTTTGATTACCTATGTTTGCATTACGGATCTGCACTAGCGTATATATATGGTCAAAGGAATATATATATATAGAGCCGTAACGCTACTGTTCTGGAGCTCCTTTAATGACTTTAATGTAAAGTCCAGCCTGTTGTATGGTGCAGAGACGTGACGGTTTCCAAAGCAAACCCTACAGAAGATCCAGACATTTCACAACACCTGTCTCAGTCGCATCTTCAATATTCGATGGCCTGAAAGGACCTCCAACAAAGAACTATGGAAGAGAGCATGACAGGAACCAATGGACGTACAAATAAGACAAATAAAGTGTGGCTGGACTGGAAGTCGTCATCCAGCATCACAGACCCTGTTTTGGATCCCACAGGGCAAAAGAAAGAGGGGAAGTCCAAGAAACACCTGGGGCGTGACTCGGAGTCAGAAGTAAAGGCACAGGACATGATCACCTAGCAGGATGCAGCGAAAGCAG